ACTATGTTCCTGGACACAAATCACAAACCAAAATAGAACAAGATCAGACGTTAATTCTTTCTCTATTTTATCACCAATTTGGGGTGGCGTTAGTATCATTATACTTGCTATTGTCCCAACATTAACACTATTATGAACATTTTAACATTTATGAAGCATTTTAACTGTATGCCAAGTTCTTTATACAAGCTGTCTCATCTATTTATTTCAATAATCCTGTGAAGGTTATTCTATCAGTTACCATATTATACAATGTAATAGAAGAGTGAGAATTTAAACTCAGTTTTTTTCTGGCTCTACAATCTTTACTTCTAATGCATTTGTTTCTAGGGATATAATGAGATCCTAAGGATTTTGATAAATGGTGACTTTTCCAATGGAGGATGTCTTATGTAGAATTCTATCAGATTCTCATCTATTTTTTATCTGGACTCTTTATACTGTTTCAAAGAGTCTGCTCAGGTTTGGTAAATGGCATCTAACAGGTCAAAGCAAAGGCTGAAGCCTATAGGCAAAGGCCTATCTATATTCACATGGGTGCTGGAGAAGAGTGAGTGGTTGGGGTAGGTTCAAGGTAATGAGTAAAGCTGAAAATTTGAAGATTTGTTGACAAGATGAGAATAATATCCCTGCCTCACACCAAACATAGTAGTTTTATAAACTAAAGGATTCTAACTGGATGGGATCAAAATTTTATTAGATATTTGTCATGGAAACATTAACAAGGCAGTAACTATATGAGAGAGTTAGATTCTTTAGCATACAGTATAGTTTACCATTTCCATATTGGGAATTTTCTACTCATTAGGAGATCTGTCTAAGGTGAAATAAAAACATGTACTTTCTCAAAATTCTACATATTAGTTGTACTTCTGAAACACAGAAAAATATTTACCATCAATTTAAAAAACACCAAATCTTTCTTTGTCCTTTTCTCAACCTTTCTTACCACATTTTATAGATATAGACATCATGGTCTAAATTATGTATCATTTAAAAATTAAATGAGAAAATAGTGACAGTGAGATATATATCTTCATTGCATTAGTGGGATAGAGTTTTCTGAAAAAGGGATGATAACAATTTAGTTATAGCAGAAATACACAGAATAAATGATCTAGCTTTGATCATGAGGAATGTATCAATAAAAATAAGAAAAGAGCTCCAAGGAGTCAGAACCAATTCTGTACTTTCAGAAATTTGTGAGGATTAAATAGAATAATACAAATAAAAAGCTTAGTACATTGCTTGTCTGTAAATTCTCAATAAATAAAAATGTATTAGACATAGGAAGCAATTCCTATTAGCAGGTGCATTCATATTATGAGGAATGAACTCTATAAACTTTATAGTAAAACAGGTAGGAAAGAATATGTGTACACACACACACACACACACACACACACACACACTCACCAAACAGCAAAACATAAAAGGTCAAACAATCTGATACCATGTCACATGGGGAAAACTGCCTAAAAACATTATTCTATTATAGGTCAGGGCATGGTGGTGGTGCTCACCTTTAATCTCAGCATGTGGGAGACAGAGGCAGGGGGATCTCTGTGAGATCAAGGCCAGCTTGTTTACACAATGAGTTCTAGATCAGTCAGGGCTACAGGGAGAACCTGTCTCAAAGAAAAAAAATTATTCTTTTATAGAAAACTACTGTTCAAAGGAGTTTAAGGGATGTCCAGATGGATTAATGAGTAAAGCATGATCACTCAAGTTTAATTCCTGGAACCTATTTGGTGGAAGGAGAGGACAAAATACTCACTAATGTGCTGTAAACTCAGCCAAATACATATGGAGGAAGAGAACGTAGATCCTAGAGAAAATCCTATCTCTTTCGTATCTCTAGACAAATGAAATTTCTTACCATATGCTAAATATGGATCCTTATATTTACAGACAGGCACTCATCAAAGTTCTTTTTTGCAACAGATGGAGGTAGAATTCCACAACTTCTCAGACACAGAGAATATGCACCTGAGAGATGCCAAGTTCTAGATGACACATCTACTGTTGAACCTCTATACCTAAGGCTCATATACCTAAGGAACATAGAGGAACAAAGGGTAGAGAGGAAACTAATGCATCCCTAAACTTTCACCAGTAAAGCTTCCTTAGAAAACAGAGTGTGATGTACACAGAAGGCAACAACTGGCCAAGTTTTAAAGAATAAGAGACTGCAGAATGTGTATTCTTGGATGGGACTCCTATACTGTACCTCACCCACCCACGGCTAATGGACCATTGTGGTAGAGGTAGTAGAACGATTGTAAGAGCCAGGACTGGTTCATGAACATATGGAAGCAGAGGCTTTCAGGTCACTGGAAGCCTGCACCTGTGAACTTGTGGCAGTGGTGGCATCAAGTCCAGGACCCATGCCAACTCAATTAAACAAGGGCCCAGAGGGGAAGAGAGAAATGGGTGGTGGGCTGGCCCTAGACTGAAAACCAATGGAGACTGATTGATGCTGGAAAAGGGACAGTATGCCTTACATATGATCTCTAAATGGGCTTACTAGACTTGGATAAATTTACACCAAAGGACATCTGGGTACAAATGCTTGACTGGATGAGACAATGTGTATGGTGGAATACATGAGGTTTGTCATGGAGGGACATGGATAGGGGAGGGGGCCAAAATTTTATTAAGAACCATTGTATAAAACTACAAAAGCTAAATTAAATATAAATAAATAAATAAATAAATAAATAAATAAATAAGAATTTTCAGGGGACACAAACATTGAGTCTATATCAAAATTCTGAAGTGGAGATAGATGGATGCACAATTTCATGGGGCACAGAGGAGGGATACTAAATATTAATTATGTAATTTCTGACAAAAAATTCCTGAAAAACAATGTTAACATCTAGAATTATAAGTTCTTGCTCTCTGAGATTTTCAGTGTAACACTTAAAAAACTTACTATTTTAATATTTTGCTACAACTATGATAAAAGCATTCTCTGTGAAACAAATACTTGCTCATCAGAATCGATATGTTCTAGGAAATGAAGACAAAGTGGACAGAAATATTCCCAGTTTAGCCATGCAGGTGCATAGAAGCTTCTGAAGCAATGGTGCAAGGGGGCTCAGATACATATTGAGTTGACAGCAGAACTTGATGTCATCCGTATAGTGTTAGTTTTGCGGGTATGCAGATTGCAAGATACTGGGTCATGGAGGTAGTACCAAGGTTCTAAGTTAAAAGTCTAGAAGCTTTTACATGTATGAAACTGTTAAAGAATTAATAAAATGAACTCTATTTTTAAAAGTCTGTGAGGTCAGGAAATGGGTAGTAGAATTAAATTCCTTGCAGGATAGTCCTGTGAAGGTGAAACCTATGTCACAAAGGAGACCTCAGAATCTTGGAGATGCTAGGATATGAGGTATATGGTAAGGAAATCTGCTGACAGGTAGCTCAAGATAGAGCCCATGTGCAGTGAAGGAATCAGGGCCAAAGTGTCAGGGATACTTAAACTTATTGGAAACCAGATGATGCTACTATGTGCCATGGATGATGGGCATAGAGCTGTAGGATTTGGTATTTGTCTTGCTGAATTTCAGTCTTGCTACAATCTAGTCTTTCCTTGCTATCCTCTCATACTTCCCTTTTGGAACAGAAATGTTTATTCTTTGACATTGAATATTGGAAGTGTATAACTTGTTTTTGTTTTTGGATTTTACAAGGACTCACAGCTAAGAGATTGCCTGAATTGAGTTTTGGACTTTAGCCCTTCGAATAGTGTTGTTAATGTGATTATAAGATCTCCTGACCTAAATACATTTTGCATTATGTGAGGGTCAAAGCCTCTGAGGGCCAGAAACAGAATGGTATGGTTTGAATGTGAAATGTTTGCCACAGGGTTATGGGTTTGACCTGTTGCTGCTGCTGCTGTTTTAGTAGATTGTGGAGCCTTTGGAATGTAAGTTCTATAGAGGCAGAACTTGAAGTTTATAAGTCTGCTTCTAATCCTGTTCCCTCTGCTATCTGATCTAATTTGTGGGGAACCTCACATTCCTGCCTCTACAGATGGAGCCATTGCAATTGCCTTGCCCTCACTGCCATCAAGTACTGTTCCCTCTGAAACCATGAGCCAAAATAAACTTTTTCCTCAAGATTCTTCTCTCAAGTATTTTGTCACATAACAAGAAAAGTAACTAGCAGAGAGGTTTTCATAAAAGCTGAGTGACCTACTTGATGCCTTCCTTTTAGGTCTTCATTCTTATTTTAGTCTTTGAAATAGTACAGAATTGTTGGAGAGAAGATGCATAACTAGATGAAGGTAAGAGAAAAGATGTCAAAGGGAAACAGTATTTCTCCATAAGAGTTGCATCATGGTTAACTTGGACATGTGTAGCTCCTTTTTCCCTGAGGAAATCTTGGCTTCAACTTGGTTCCTATGGGCCAAACACATTCTATGGGCTAATGAATGTTTTTATGTGTTTTTCTTAAAAAATTGCGAATTTCAGGTTTTCCTTACTCTACTACACATACGAAAAAAAGATACCATAATACTCCCTAAAAGAAAATGTCAAGGGATGTATTAGTTACTTTTATCTTGATATGATAAAACACAATGACCCAAAACAACTTAATAGAAGAAAGAATTTATTTTGGCTCATGGTCCTAGGGGGAATAATAACACATCTTGGTGGAGAGGTATGGGAGCAAGTGGCAGACATGGTGCCAGGAGTAGGAATCTTAGAGCTAACATCTTCAATTGTTAATGCAAAGCAGAGAGAGTGAACAAGGAATGGGGTGAGGCTATGAATTCTCAAAACCTGCCCTAGTGAAATACTTCCTCTATCAAGGCTACACCTCCAAAAACACCACCAACTGGGAACATGTGTTCAAATACCTGAATCTATGTAGGGGAGGGGCATTCTTCATTCTTAGCACCATGTTCTACACCCTGGCCCCCATAGGTTCATTGCCATACCATAATTCAAAATACATTTATTCCAACTTTATTTATTTATTTATTTAAAAATATGCTTCACAAATTTGCATGTCATTCTTGAGCAGGGGACATGCTAACCTTCTCTGTATCATTTCAATTTTAGTATATGTGCTGCTGAAGCGAGCACACATCAAGTCCAACTTTAAATATACCTGTCTTTCACAGTCTCAATACTGTTTCAAAGTCCAAAGTCTTCCCTGTTACCTAATCTTTGAACTGTTACCACCTACATAATAAAAAGATTAATTACATAGTCTAACACACAATGACATAGACTATACATTCCCATTCCAAAAGGGTGGAATGTGGGTGTATTTAGGAAATACTAGACCAAAGCAAGAAGGAAATCCAGCAGGGCAAACATCAAGTTCTGAAGCTCCATGTCAAGTGTCTGCAACTTTAATACCAAAGGACAGATGATTCTGATCTTCCAGCTTTGATGCTTGCATTATACCTCCCTTTGGGGCTGGTTCCACTCCCTGTATGCAGATGTCTTTGGCAGAGGTTTTATGACTCTGGCATCTTCAACATGTTGCGGTTGCCAGTGCAACCCAAGTTTCATTTAAAAAGCTTCATGCAATGGCTCCTTAGAGCCTGCTGCCCTCTCAGGGTCTGCTCATAGTGACTGCAGCACTCACGCATGTTGTCTGGTCTCAGCAGCTCTCTGAAACCATGGAGAAAGAATCTATGACCACCTTAATCTTGTAATTTTCATGCTTCCAAAATTAATGCCATGTGGATGACACTGTCAGCTTGGGGTGGACCCTTGGTCCTTTCAAACACATTAGCAGCAACTTTTGTGTGCTGTTGTTTTCTAGGAGCAGAGAACTTCTTAGGTCTTTTACAAGGAGGAAGCTTAACTGGGTGGCATCCTAAATTGAGGGTACCGTTCCCATTATTCCAGTGCCAAGGAGGAGGCCTCACCTTAATGATACTAATCTCTTTAACAATTGCATCCTCTTTTGCAACACATGCTTTGGCTATAGCATTAAACTTCCTAGTGCTATTTTTCTCTCCAAACTGAATATTTTGTATTTCTTTCTGCCACATTTGCTCTTTTTCACTGTAGACCTGCATAAACATTATCAATAATAATCATCACAGACTCAGTGTTGTGCTTTCTTGAATTTCTTCCACCAAAGAAATTAGTCCATTACTTTTTAATTTAGCTTCAGACAAGTTTTCATGCATGGGCAGAAGGCAGCCAGATTCTAGTGCTTTTGAAATCTTTGATTCCCTGTGAAACCTCTTGAGCCTGGGCTCTACAGTCAGTGTTACTCTCAGCAACACTGTCTTTTGGACTCCTACTAGAACAGTCTGCTAAGCTCTTCTTATAGCTTTCAAGTCCAAAGTTCCAAAGTCCTCCATGGTTCTCTAAAGTCAGTCATGGTGAGGTTCTTCACAGAAATACCTCAGGCTTAGTGCAAACTTATGTATTAGTTACTCTTCTATTGCTTTGATAAAACACCATGACCCAAAGTGACTTGAGGAAGAAAAAGCATATTTTGGCTTGTTGTTCCAGAGGGGTAAGTGTTCATCATGGTGAGGAGGCATGGCAGCAAGTGGCAGGTATGGTGATAGGAGCTGGAAGCTGAGGCCTGACATCAGGCAAACATGAAGCAGAGAGAAAACTGGATGTAGGGTGAGGCTATGAATGCTCAAAGCTCACCCCCAGTGACATACTTCTTCCAGCAAGGCCATACCTCCTAGACTGCCCCAAGCAGCACCACTAGCTGGGGACCACTTGTTCAAACACCTGTGCCTGTTTGGTATATTTTCATTCAAAGCACCACAGACAATACAAATAAAACACAGTCCAGGGATTCAATCTAACATCTCTTAACCTTTATATCCCATCCTCACCCTGACTCATGTGAGATAATGTGCAAATGTATCTGGAGTGGAGAGATGGCTGCTTCCCATCATATGGCTCCAACACACTTATGGATAAATGGAATGAAAAGGTAATGAGCTTGCTGTATTCAGTGAGGTCAGATATTGCACTCTTTTTTATATACTTAGAATATAGCTAAAATTGAGGGCATCCAAACGATAGTGATGAGAATGGTCAATAGACACTAAATAGGTAAATCTCCATAAAAGTGAGTGTGTTGAAGGAATATATTATATTTTATCTCTGCTTGTACTTATCTGGCAGAGTTCTTGGCAAATTGTGAGAGCTTAATAGATGTCATTTAATGAATGAATGAGAGACTCAGTGAGTGATTCAACATCTATATATCTATATCTACATATAAAATTAAAATTTAATTGGAATTTAAATTAAGGATTCATGAACCAAAAAAGAATGGCTGTGAACCCTTGAGGACTTTGGCTGCTATATGGAAGAAGAGCCACAAAAGACAGATCAGGAGGAAAAGTGTTGACTTGAAAAGGGAAGCTCCTAGTCCCAATGGAAGGGTAATGATAGATTATCAATACCCTCATGTTATAGTCATGTGTATTCCACCAAATTATTAATTAAAATCAAGAAATGGAAATCTGTTGACAGTTCTCCAAATTATACGAAATGTAAGAAAAAGAAAGCTGGATCTGAGTGCCTACTTACACTGTACAAGGCTTATCAGCACTATCACATTAACCCTGTTATTTAACCCTTAGAGTTATCCATCAGGGGAATGCTATCATAGGCCCCTTTTAAATAAATAGGACTCAGAGGCAAAAAAAATAGATAATTTGCCAGAAGTTCCACAATTCTTGGTTGAATTAAGATTTAAACTTGGAAATTCTCATTGTGGGACTGTGCTCAGATAATGACAGCAGATAAAACAAGATGATCAGTTCTAGGCACCGTATCCCAGTGTTCACTGGCATACTCCTTCATCTATGACTTGTTTCCTAGTTTAGAGAATGTACTTGAAGCTCTATCTTTAACCCATATTGTGTCAGGCATAGTAACCATGTAAGCGAGTACAAGATAATTCCTGACTTCAATGTATTCATAGTCTCAGTAGCTCAGAATTGCCTTAAATAATCCTGTAAAAGTTCATGTGGATTCATGAAGTAATTCATGATTTTAGCCAGATACTCAAGGAGAAGTAAACGGGGAGTGTATTCAGAGTGAGGCTAATGTAGGCAGCTATGGAGAAACCCAGATGGATGTTGGGTGTACTAGAAAGAAACAAGCTGTTAACTAGCTTGGTTATGAACATTAGTAATACACAGTGGATGTCCACTTATCTTAAAAATCAATTCAGTAAATGTGGGTTGAACTTCATTATGCTGAACCAAAATATTCAGGGGTTCACATCCTCATAGCATGTCACACATCCCAAGAAATAACATTGCAGTTCCTTGAATTTTATTCTTTAAGCAGAATAAAATGACACTTAGGGTGGAATATTTCTGTAAAACATGTTTGAGCTAGTACCTCAACTGTTTCTTCATTATTGGCCCTTGGCACTTAAATATCACTTTAAAAAATTTTATTTATTATTTTTATTTTATGTGTATTGCCTGTATGTGGGTAAGTGTACCTGTGTCATGCAATGCCAGTGGAGATCAGAAGAGGCTGTCAGATCCCCTGGGACTGGAGTTATAGACAGCCGATAGCTGCCACGTGGGTGCTGGGATTTGAACCTGGATCTTCTGAAAGAACAGCCAGTGTTCTTAACTGCTAAGCTATCTCTCCAGCCCCTTAAATATCACTTTTATAGATTATAGGAGATATTTGAATAATATATACTATATATCATATATATATATATATAATTATGCTTTTTTTGGTCTTTTTGATACAGGGTCTCCCTGAAGTATAATTATGCTTTTTAATAGTTAAGTGGTGGTGAGGACAGATATACTGTATAGTTAATTCAAAATAATCTGTATTTAGTTATTTGTATAGCAGAAAAAAGTTGGGTATTTTTAGAAGGTCATGAAAGCCAAAAATTTATATTTCTTTAAATTTGACTCAAAGTATACTTTAAAAAAGAGACATGGTGGGGCTGGGGAGATGGCTCAGCAGTTAAAAGCACTGACTGCTCTTTCAGAGGACCCATGTTTGATTCCCAGTATCCACATGGTGGCTAACAACCACTTAACTTCAGTTCTGACCTCCACAGTCTTTGCGCTGCATGGGTGCTCTTATATACATGCAGGCAAAACACTCGAATACAAATAAAAAAATAAATAAATAAATAAATAAATAATAATAAAGAGAAATGGTTCCTTAGGTGCTGTGACAGAGTGGTTAAAACCTCTCAAACTGGAACTGGAAAGATGGCTCAGTGGTTAAGAGCACTGGCTGCTCTTTCAGAGGACCCAGGTTCAGTTCCTAACACCCATGTGTTAGCTAACAGCTGTTGGTAAATACAGTTCCAGGGAATACGACCCCCATTCTT